AAGAAGGTAGAATGAAACAGACATTATTACCCTAGGTACATGTATGATTGCACAAATGGTGTGACTCTACTTTGTGTACAACCAGAGGAGTGAAAAATTGTACTCCATTTGTGTACAATCAATTGAAGAGCATTCAGCTATAATGTAAAACTGATTAGAACAAATAAATAAAACAATTTAAAAAAATCATTGTCATATTAGTATATGAGAGGGAATGAGTGGGAAGAAGAGGAGGATGGTTGAAGAATGGGATGCTTGGGATTGAGATTATATTGTAGATGCAATTATGGTAAATATATGGTCAGAGTGTAATTGAAAGTGTGGACAACCAAAGTAGGTTAAACATGGTCATGGAATAAGAGGTCAGGATATTGAAAAATCCATCAGTGGGTATTGAAATCAACAGATTTGTGAAAGTGTGGTGTCCCAAGGAGTAATAATGAGCCAAGACATCTTTAAGCAGTGGGGGTGAGTGACCTGGAGGCAGGTGTTTGGTGGTCTGTAGACAATCACAGCACAGAGTAATGGTTGTGATTATACACAGAATAGGCCATGAAGGAAAAAATATGAGCTGAATTTATCCTTTCATCTTAAACAGCTAAAACATACATACATACATACATACACACACATACATACATACACACACACACACATATTTATATGAATGAAATGATGGATCTCAGACACTGGACAATGGAGAAGGCAGAACAATGATCCCTACCATTGCTTCATTCTACTACCTAGATAGAATTTCCAGGTAGCAACAGAGAAATGGGATACCAGACAAAACCCAGCAGTTTTCTTAAGTTGAGGACAAAAAGTTAAGAATTGGAAAAGGCCAGTGTAACTGGAGTCTTGGGACAGAGTCCCACAGAGGAAGAATCTCAGAGAAAGTTATGGGTCTGTAGGGAGTGCCTCTTGAGTCTTCACCTGAGCACAGGTACATGTGAGGAAACTACCTAAGATTGGAGAGGAGCAGGCAGTAGAGTTCCCAAAGTTCACATGTGGCTGGAACAGTTCATATTCCCAAGGGTCAGAATGGAAAAAACCTCTGTAAGTAGGGGATTGAAGAAGGCTTGAGCATGGTAAGAAGAGACCTAGAAAACCTAGGAAGAGATGTGCTTGGTAGTGCACACTTGTAATCCCAGCTACTTAGGAGGCTGAGGCAAGAGGATTTCAAGTTTGAGGCCAGCCTGGACAATTTAGCAAGACCCTGTCTCAAATTTTTAAAATAAAAAGCTGAGGATATAGTTCAGTGGTAGAGTGACTGGGTTCAGTCCCCAGTACTGCCAAAAATGTAAAAATAAAACATAAAATAAGATCAACATCAACCTTCTACAGATGAAAATTTTAAATTGATCATGTAGGTTTTAACAGGAGATTCAGTGTTGCAGAAGAAAAGATCAGCATGAGTGTGAAGGTTTAGCAACAGAACCTATCCAGAGTGGAACACAGAAAAATAAAGACTAGCAACAAACAAACAAAAAACATGACCAACAGTGAGCTGTGGGGCAGTTTTATGTGGCCCAATATACATATCATTGGAGCCCCAGAAGACAAGAGGTAAGTGAGAAAGGCATAGAACAAGAAGGAGTGATGGGGGGGGGGAGAGAGATTTTTTGAAGTAATAGTGGCAAAAAAGTCTGTACTTTATAATAACTATAACCTCTCATATATAGAAATCCCAGCAGAAGAAACATGAAGAAACTACATAAAAACACATCATAATCATATTGCTTAAACCAATGATGAAAAAAACCATCTTTTAAGCATGAGAGCAAAAAAGACTGGAGAATTTTGGGATAGAGAGTAACAGTGATTGGGAGGTTGGGAAGCAGAGAAGATATCTAAGTGGAAATAAGAAGGTGGAGACACCATTTGGACACAAACTTGGGAATGTTCATGTTATACTGATAATGACTGAGCCCTCCAGAAGGCATGGGGGAAAAAATTCTGGAGTTGGAGGGTAGTAGAGATGAGGTCAGATTAAGGGATGCAGAAACGTATCCTGGGTTAAGGATGACCTGTGCATTTTAGAGTGCTTATGTCCAATATAATGTGATTAGTCTTGATATTCTCCAAGGTGAATTGGGGTGGGAAGACTGTGACATTGCAGGGAGCGAGGAGAGAATATTGTCAGGAGCAGAAGAGCTTGTCTTCATTCCATCTGATGGAATTATGGAGCCTGGGCAAGGATGGTCCTCCCAGGTAAGCTTTGTGGCAGCAGCTGACTATTCCCTTCTTCATGTATGTGTTTATGGAGACTTACACTTCTATATCTAGTGGGTACCCAGTAAAAGGAACTATCTCATCTATTGAAAGGAAGCTTCCTGCAGTGTCTGGGTGCCATATTGATTTATTTTTATTTTCAATTATTCTTGTGTAATGAAATTGTTCTGATAATATTTTTCATCATGGTATTTGTATTCATATCCCAATACTGTGACCTTTGAAATATGCCTATATAGAAGATCTACATGACTATTTTTTTCAAATAGTGAACACAAACCATTTATTATCAGTGTCTAATATTATATATACTATACCTATTATATGTACTGTACTTTTATATGGTTAGCAGTGCAGTCTACTGTTTTGCTGGAGTCCTTATAACTTCTCGTCCCTGGGGGAGATGACATCTTTTTGATTACATGGAATTACATTCATGCCATGTCCAAGTCCAAGTATGAGTAACATGAAGAAAGCATTCCATTCAAGATTGGGTACCTAACTGGGATAGATTAAGCAACACTTGGCAACAATTAAACAAGAAAGCTTCCATGCTGTGTAAGATTGTTTTAATCAGCTTTTCACAACTTCTTCATTCTTTAAAGTTTATGGTAGCTATTATATTGTCATGCATTTGATTAAAAAGCACAATTTAGTAAAAAGTGTGTTAGCCTTTAGTAGTAACAATGAAAATCTTGGTTATTTGGACCATATGGCTGTAAACAATGCCCCACTACATGTTTACTGGCTCTTACCTTAATTACAAAATATTTAGGAAAACATAAGCATTATGTACAATGTAAGCTTTTTAGGCTCCCAAATCTATAAAATTCCTTTTGGTATAACCTTATAAGACCAATGTTTGCAATTTTAGGATATTTATCACTGTGTATGTACTTTTCATTAATTACATTCTATTTCCTGTGGCTATAATGTGGTTTTAAAATCTATGCTTTGTTAGTAGAAGCAGTAAATGAGCAATATGTATGCATTACTTGTTGCAGAGAAGCACAATTATCTGTGATATTTCTTCTGCCAAATTATATTTATAATATTCAGATTATATAAGAATATTATAAAGTTAACTCAGTTGATATCACAAATTATTCTTAGTGTAGCATTTATCTGCCTAATCTGGATCTCAAATTTATTTTCCTTGCTGTGTTTGATATGTATAATTATAATTTTGTTGACTCAAAATTGAAGGAGCCTTGTGAAAACCAAACGTTTAACCCCATACTCTCTACCAAAATAAATTTTTTTCTGGAAAAAACCAAACATTGCATTAATCATTTAGGTTTATTGTTCATATGAAATGGTTTCAAGGTGATAAATGGATTTGGGAAAAAAAATGAAGGTTGTGACCATCTGTACCCAGACTTGTTATAAGCCACCTGTGTGGTGTGGCTGCCACAAACAGTAAGATAATATTAGTTCAGTATTAACAAATGTATTGCATTCCAACAGTAGGAAGACAGAGTTCCATTATGTTATCCTGTCAGTATTGTGTCTATTTCTGGTTACCTTGTTTGTACACCAAACATATTTGTATATTCTTTTTTGCCCCTTTTATCCACATGACTAACATTGGCATACATTTTAAAAGTAGCTGATTATATTTGAAATGCAAAAGCCCAAACTATCTGATGCATATTATTTTCTGAAGTTCTAAGCCATGCTTTTTATTTTTTAACACCATTATCCTTTAAGCTGAAAACCATCTGATAAATTTTAAAAAAAATTAGAAAACTGTTATTATATTAATAACAGAATCCTAAGGGATTATTTTCTTTCTTTTTTTTTCTAAGAGAAGGAGAGAGAATTTTTTAACATTTATTGTTTAGTTTTCGGCGGACACAACATCTTTATTTGTATGTGGTGCCTGAGGATCGAACCCAGCACCCCGCGCATGCCAGACGAGCGCGCTACCGCTTGAGCCACATACCCAGCCCATAAGGGATTATTTTCTATGACCCCATAACAAGCATTAGTATGAGTTTGTCCTGATTATTAGATAAAATATGTAGTTGGCTAGTTACTTTTTTTGAGAAAATTTAAATTAATATAGTTAATTAAATTAAAACTTAATTGCATCTGGGCTTGGTGGCACATGCCTGAAATCCCAGCGGCTGGGAAGGCTGAGGCAGGAGCATGGCAAGTTCTTGAGTCAAAGCCAGCCTTAGCAACTTAGCAAGGCCCTAGGTAACTCAGTGAGATCCTGTCTTTAAATAAAATCAAAATAGAGCTGAGAATGTTGCTCAATGATCAAGTGCCCCTGAATTCAATTCCCGGTACCTATCTACCCCCCAAAACACCTAGTCACAGTACACCAATAAAAATAGTAATAATCTGTCACATTAAAATACTCTTTAGGAACAGAATAGAGGTTTTTTTTATTAGCTCCTTACATTTAAAAATTAGAATTTTTATATTGGAGATACAAAGTTAAAATATCTAGTCTTTTAAAATTATTTTCTATATTTTTACTATTATATCTGAACAAAATATTCTATATATTCATTTTGTAAAATAAGAGTTTTATCATTAATATAATCATTCCAGTTTTCTATTAAAATTAAAATCATTTCATTTTCAGCATATAGGGTTGTTTGTATTCCTTTTTCATGATGGGGGTTATAGAGAAGAGTCATAATATTAGAATATAATATTTATTACATTAGTCATTAGTAAGAAAAACATTTATTTTTAACCTTGAATTTACTTAAGTGAAAATAGAGACTAATATGGATGTTTTGGTTTCTTTATAGGACTTCGGGTGACTGTGCTTCTGACGTCGTTCCTTATGGTTTTGGGAACTGGTCTAAGATGCATACCTATATCAGACTTAATGCTGAAAAGACGGTAAATCCTCTAAGTTTTAAAAAATTTTCCTGCATTTTTGTCTTTTATTATAAGCACATAGTATATGTTTAATTGTAAGCTTTTAATAAACAGTTACATTTTTATGGTCAGTGGAGGGTTACTTTATAGAAGCATTTATTTTTTTACCCTAAGTGATGGTTTGTTCAGTTTCTTGTCATATGTAAGGCACTATACCAATTGTTGTGGAACTAAAAGAACAAGTTAATTTTCATACTCTTCTGAAGCTATAATAACCATGGTAGAATACACTCTGTAAGAGAATATGTGTGTGTGTGTAATATATATATATATATATATATATAAAATATTTTATATATATACACATAGAAGAGGTATAAAATTACCCCATGAGACAAGGAAAAGTTTTAGCTGAGGGTATCAGAAAGAAGTCTTTTTGAAGGAGTCAAACTAGGCACTGAATGATGAATAGAATTTTTATTTATTTTTAATTTGTTCTTGTTAGTTATACATGACAGTAGAATGTATTTTGACATATTATACATACATGGAGTATAACTTCCCCTACTTGTAATTGTACATGATGTGGAGTTATATTGGTTGTGTATTCATACATGAACATAGGAAAGTTATGTCTGATTCATTCTACTGTCTTTTCTATTTCTACATTCCCCTTTGTCTAATCCAATGAAGTTCTCTTCCCTCCACCCCTTATTGTGTTTTAGCATTGCATATCAGAGAAAACATTTGGCCTTTGGTTGTAGGTGATTGGCTTAGTTCACTTAACACAATTAGTCTCCAAATCCATTCATTTACCTGCAAATGCCATAATTTCATTTTTCTTCAGGGCTGATTAATATTCTATTGTGTATATATACCACAATTTTTTATCCATTCTTCTGTTGAAGAGCACCTAGGTTGGCTCCATAGCTTAGCTATTGTGAATTGAGCTGTTAGAAACATTGATGTGGCCGCATCCCTATAATATGCTGATTATAACTTTTTTGGGTATATGCTGAGGAGTAGGATAACTGGGTCAAATGGTGGTTCCATCCCTAGTTTTCTGTGGAATCTCCATACTGTTTTCCAAAGTGGTTGCATCAGTTTACAAACAGCAATGTATGAATGTATCTTTTCCCCCACATCTTCACCAACATTTATTGTTACTTGTGTTCTTTAGTTGCCATTCTGACTGGACTGATATGAAATCTCACTGTAGACTTAATTTTTATTTCTCTAATTGCTAGAGATGGTGAATATTTTTCTCGTAGATTTGTTGACTAATTGTATTTCTGATGTGAAGTGCCTGTTCAGTTCCTTTACCCATTTATTGATTGATAATTTGCTCTTTTGGAGTTAAGTTTTTTGTGTTCTTTATATGTCCTGGATATTAATGCTGTATCTGAGGTGCAGGTGGCAAAGATTTTCTCCCACTCTGTAGATTCTGTCTTCACATTCTTGATTGTTTCCTTTGCTGTAAAGAAGCTTTTTAGTTTGATACCATGTCATTTATTGATTCTTGATTTTACTTGTTGCTCTTTAGGAGTCTTGTAAAGGAAATTGATTCGTAAGTGGATATGATGGAGATTTGGGCCTACTTTTTCTTCTCTCAGGCACAGGGTCTCTGGTCTAATGCCTAGGTTCTTAGTCCACTTTGAGTTGAGTTTTGTACGGGGTGAGAGATAGGGTTTTAATTTCATTTTGCTACTTATGGATTTCCAGTTTTGTCAGCACCATTTGTTGAAGAGGTTCTCTTTTCTCCAATGTATGTTTATGGCACCTTTGTCTAGTATGAGATAACTGTATTTATGTGGGTTTGTCTCTGTGTCTTCTATTCTGTTGAGTTGATCTACATGTCTGTTTTGGTGCCAATACCATGCTGGTTTTGTTACTATAACTCTGTAGTATAACTTAAAGTCTGGTTATGATGCCTCCTGCTTCACTTTTCTTGCTAAGGATTGCTTTGGCTAATCTGGGTCTCTTATTTTTCCAAATGAATTTCATGACTGCTTTTTCTATTTTTATAAAGAAAACCATTGGAATTTCAATAGGAATTGCATTAAATCTATGTAGAGCTTTTGGTAGTATTGCCATTTTGACAATGTTAATTCTGCCTATCCAATACCATGGGAGGTCTTTTCATCTTCTAAAGTCTTCTTCGATTTCTTTCTTTAGTGTTCTGTAGTTTTCATTGTAGAGCTATTTCACCTTTTTTGTTAGATTGATTCCCAAATATTTTATTTTCCTTGAGACTATTGTCAATGGGGTAGTTTTCCTAATTTCTCTTTCAGTTGATTCATCACTGATGTATAGGAACACAATTGGTTTATGGGTGTTGATTTTATATCCTGCTATCTTGCTGAATTCATTTATGAGTTCTAGAAGTTTTTTGGTGGAGTTTATTGGGTCTTCTAAATATAGAATCATGTCATTGGCAAATAGAGCTAGTTTGAGTTCTCTTTTCCTGTTAATATCCCTTTAATTTCTTTCTTCTGACTAACTGCTCTGCTAGAGTTTCAAAGACTGTGTTGAATAGAAGTGGTGAAAGAGAGCATCCCTGTCTTATCCCAGTTTTTAGAGGGAATGTTTTCAATTTTTTCTTCATTTAGAATGATGTTGGCCTTGGGCTTATCATATATAGCTTTTATAATGTTGAGGTATGTTCCTACAATCCCTAGTTTTTCTAGTGTTTCGATCATGAATGAATGCTGTATTTTGTCAAATGCTTTTTCTGCATCTATTGGGATAATCTTGTGATTCTTGTCTTTAAGTCTATTGATGTGATGAATTGTATTTACCAATTTCCGTATGTTGAACCATCCTTGCATCCCTGGGATGAACCCCACTTGATCATAGT